CGTTGTACCGGACAACGATTTTATCGGTTTTAGAGTACGGTAGTTTTTGCTTCCAGTCGGCGGCTAAAACTCACATCATCAAACTGGAACGTATCCAGTATCGTTGTCTTCGTATCGCGTTAGGATGCATGCACTCGATTCATACGATGAGCCTCGAAGTGTTGGCGGGCATGTTGCCACTATCGGATCGGTTTTCGGAATTGTCCCACAGGCTCCTCACCCGTTGTGAAGTTATGAACCCACTGGTAATCGAAAACTTTGAGAAGCTTCTTGAACTAAACCCTCAAACTCGTTTTATGTCATTGTACTACGTGTACATAACTCAGGATGTCAGCCCTTCACAGCATAATCCCCATCGTGTATGCTTCTCCGACTTCGGCAATTCAGTTAGTTTTGATTTATCTATGACGCGGGAGATTCGTGGGATCCCAGAACATCATCGTTCCATGATTGTTCCGTCAATTTACGCTGCAAAGTTTGGCCAAGTTGATTCCGCAAGATCGTTCTTCACAGATGGATCATTAATAGAGGCGTCCGCTGGTTTTGGTATTTATAACGAATTTCATAGTGCCTCTCGAATGCTTCAAGCTCCTTGTTCCGTATATGTTGCTGAGCTGGCGGCAATACATTATACGCTAGAAACGATCGCCTCACTTGCACCAGATCATTATTTTATTTTTACGGATAGTCTCAGTTCTGTCGAGGCTATTCGATCCATGAGGCCGGTAAAGCACTCCTCGTATTTTCTCATGAAAATACGAGAGCTTCTGAGTGCTTTATCTTTAAGATCTTTTGTCATCACCTTTGCATGGGTCCCATCTCATTGCTCGATTCCGGGCAATGAGAAGGCGGACTCACTTGCTAAGGTGGGCGCTATGCAAGGCGATATTTACGATCGACAAATCGCCTACAATGAATTTTTCTTCATTTATCGTCAACAGTCGCTCGCCAGCTGGCAAAATAAATGGAGTGAAGGAAGTTTGGGACGATGGCTATTCTCGATCATCCCTAAGGTGTCGAAGAGTCCTTGGTTCAAGGGGTTGGATGTGGGTCGAGACTTCATTCGTCTGATGTCTCGCCTCATGTCCAATCACTATTCGTTAAACGCTCACTTGTTTCGTGTTGGGCTGGGAGACAGCAATCTCTGTGAATGTGGACAAGGTTACCAAGACGCCGATCACATCCTTTGGTCTTGTGCTGAGCATCGTGGAGTCAGATCTGAGCTGTGCGATTCCCTTCGGGCTCGAGGTAGACAACCTAATGTTCCAGTTCGGGATATTTTGGCTAGACGTGATCTGGAGTTTATGAAACTCATATATGTTTACTTTAAGAATACTAACCTTAGATTGTAAGTTTGATTAACCTTGTGTTTAGTTTGTGTATTGTGCGTGTAGTTTTTTTTTTAATGTTTTCTTTCAAGATGAATAGAAATAAGTTCATGTTTTAGGATTAATTAAATATTTGTATAATAAATTATGTTTCAAACCTCCTTCTCCCTTTCCCCATCCAAAAAAATGTAAATCTCCACTAACCTCGAGACGACCGCGAGTAATCGGTTCAATTCCTTTAACTCTAGATTTAAGACATCAATCATGTATAATGTAAATGATAACTCGGCTCTGTAAAGTTTATTCGATTGAGCCTGTACAAATAAATTAATATAAAAAAAAAATAACGGGTCCGTCCTTGCAATCAGGTGGGAGTAGCGGGAAGGAATGTTAGAGCGACCTTTGTTGTTTTGGAAACCGTGTTTTCCTCGGCGTCCCCACATCGGTCACAGGAGGCTTCCATTCTTCCATTTATTAACGTCCTTTTAAACAAACCACCTTGAAGAGGTGAATATAGTTCATTCAGGACGGCCAAATCGTAACCAGCACTAAGCCGCTTAGCATCCCCAGGTTGCGATAATCACGGGCTATTGCGACGATGATCCCCCGTTCTTGTTCGCATTACTGACGGCAAATATCACCGCCAGCAACCCCACCGGGCCCCGCACAGAGGTCGCAAATCGACTGATTAGCTGGCAGAGCCCGACAACCATTGATAAGCGTTCTTATGTATACCATCCAGCCTGAAAATAATGGGTTGGGAAAAAAATTTTGACCAAAAAATTTCTGACACCTAAACTCCCTCCAAACCTTGATTAGAGCCGTATTAACGGAGATAAATCGATTTAAAAATTTTAATACCCTCCAGCCTGAAAATAATAGGTTGGGAAAAAAATTTGGCCAAAAAAAAATTTCTGACGCCTAAATACCCTCCAAATCTCGATTAGAGCCGTATTAACGGAGATAAATCGATTTAAAGATTTTAATACCCTCCAGCCTGAAAATAATGGGTTGGGAAAAAATTGTTGACCCATTATTTTCAGGCTGGAGGGTATTAAAATCTTTAAATCAATTTATCTCCGTTAATACGGCTCTAATCGAGATTTGGAGGGTTTTAAGGTGTCAGAATTGTATTTTTGTCAAAAATTTTTTCCCAACCCATTATTTTCAGGCTGGAGGGTATTAAAATGTTTAAATCGAAATTTCTCGCGTAACACGAGAAAAGGGCCTATCATTGTTGATCGATTTTCTTTTTCGCGAATATCCAGACTGCAAATGAATTTCCGATTCAGTGTGTTGTTTCACGCGCAAGCTAACATCATCTTCTTTCGAACTTTGCTGCGAGCTTAGTGAGAAATTCGTTTAAGTTGCCGTGGTAAACCAAAGAGAAAGTCTTAGAAGAGAATCTATCAACGAAGATAGGCCCTTTTCAAATGTTACGCGAGTCTCGCGTCACCTTTTAAATAGACCAATATACATTGATCGATTCTTCGTTAAAAACACGACTCCAAAAACATGTATAGCTGTTCTTATCGTTCAATACGCTTAATTTCTTTTAACTATGCAGAAAAATTAGCCCGAAATATGAATGCAATATACTTATTCATTTTTCCGTATCGTTACGTCCGAGTTCTATCTGTTACGATCTTCTATAATAACGGCCCGGCTTAGTATCTTTTCTCATCAAGACTCAAGCATATTTTTGGAAATCCTACGCGGGAAAAAAAGAGTTCCCATATTCGTGAACCACAGCCGTGAACCATAGTTCACGGTGTATATTTGAGAAAATTTTGTTCTGGATAGCTAGCCGTGATTTTTAGTTCACGGTCCGTTCCCGTTTTTGGGAACGGATTTTTTTCCGAGTACCCTACCTAAGTATATGGCAAAAAAGATAAAACTGGATCGAGCTCACCAATTAAGTTGACTGCTGGATGCAACTTGTCCGTAAACTGGACGTGGAATTCAAACCGCGAGAAATTTTTGATAAACTGGAAACTCTTCTCAAACCAATGCTTTCAATTTCCGGTACCACCATCGAGTAGAACATGAAAAAACTTGCTAGTTGTTGAGTTCTTCTGCCACTCTTCGGATGGCATCCAGGTTTCCGTTGATCGACTGCTTCCCGATGTGAAAGGGTTTTCAGGGAAAAATTATCCACAACGCCTTATTTTGCACAGATGAGATTGTCAGGATGGAAGAGGTCTCGCAAAAGTCCCGGATTTACCTGATCAATAACGGTTGCTTCCGTTACGACCTGGATGGTACAGCTCGATTGCGTTCCACAAAAACAAACATTTCAGGTTAAAATCAACTTCTCGAAAACTAAACTGGAGATTGTTCTTCTTTAAAAACACTTCAGTACGGGGAATCACGAGAAAAAAGCTAGACAGCAAAAATAAACGCAACCGTTTGCCGGCACAGCCTACTTCATTTCAATTATGAGCACTATACAAAAACTATACAAGTGTGATCATGGTTTATTATAAAAGGCTCATGCTCATAGTTTGGCATCCAAGTGTATTCAAGGCATAAGGAAAACGTTGCATTTAACGAACGCTGTGCGCATTGTAGAATGCATGTATTTTTTATATGTCTTCCGCCCATATTTAAATAAAAATCAGAATACTTAGTCAGAAGGGTACCAATAATTGTTTTTCCTTAAAATACCTGAGACTGGTTCTAAACAATATCTACTGTTTGAAAATTTTGTTCAGTTCACTTCAGTTCTTTCAGCAGTTTCATAACTCATTCTCAGACCGGTATTTGCCAGGGAAAAACAAACGAATTAAAACCCACTCGTTAAACGGGCTTGATGCTGGAACTCATCATTATGTCGCCGTCTTAACGCGTTTGAAAGCATAGAGATTGTGGAAGGTCATTAGGGATTGTGGCAGAACATTAGTTTGCTTCTGCCATTACTTCCCGTTCACTAGAAGCAGTACCCCTGTGGGATACAGAAATAGAAGAAATCCAAAGTGCCTAGAAGCAGGTCCGGTCTTCCACTGATTCTTCAATAATCAAACCATTTTGTACCACTAAAAAAACACCACCAATGTTATAATTTTGAATCAAACATTGTTCTGCTAAATAATTACAAATATCAACTGTCATTTAGAAGAAAAATTTCATATTTGGTAATCATTTAGTGTCGAAGCTGCCTGGATTTTCTGAGGCATAAAATCTCTGATCACGGGAAGTAAAGTCGTTGGTCCCTCTTCGATGGGTCCAAGTGTCAAAGAAAAAAATCATCTCTTTAGTGTCAGATGTGTCAGATACGGGACATTCATGTTTTATGGCACAGCAGCGTAAAAATCTGGATAAAAATGGGGTTGTAATGTCAATCTCACGAATTATGACTGTCCAAAAGGGCTGCGTTCGATCATTTGGACCAACAGTGAGGTCCAAACGATCGAACACAGCCCTTTTGGACAGCAAGGTGGACAGTCTACTCGGGAAGGAAAAGCCTCCTCAGTTCAATAGTTTTCCCTAATACGGCCTACAATCTCACAGCATTTTTCATCGTTGTCTTTTTGCTCGTGTATTGAAGAATACTTTTCTGGAAATGGGAGCTATGAACCTAAATTTGTAATATTCCTAGATAAACATGAACATTTTTTTATTTCTTTAGAAATCATCAATCAACAGTGGACAACCATCAATAAACAACATGTAATAACAATTTTTAATAATCAATCGGCCAACACTCCCCGGAACAAATACTAGCTAACAATACCCGCATTTTTGGCCATTCCGTAGAATATTGAATTCTTATCGGCTAGAAGACTTTGTGGCGCATCACACTCTGCTACGAGGCCCTTGTCCAGCACCAAAACCCGATCAGAATCGAGGATAGTGTTGAGACGATGGGCAATCGTTAGGATTGTACAGTCTGCAAATTCCGTGCGGATTGTTTTCTAAAAATAAGTAACAAATCACATGTAAATAACAAAAAAAAAACAGCTGCACCATAAAAGCATCTCCAGCTCACCTGAATCAAGTCATCCGTTTCCAAATCAACCGCGGCAGTTGCTTCGTCCAATATCAATACTTTCGTTTTCCTCAAAACTGCTCGTGCCAAGCAGATCAGTTGGCGCTGACCAACGGAGAGATTCTCACCATTCTCGGCAGCCTCGTGCTCCAATCCAGCTGGCAACCCCTTCACGAAGGTCTTCAAATGTGACAGCTCCAACGCCTTCCACACCTGATCATCCGAGTAGGTCCCGAATGGATCGATATTCATGCGGAGACTTCCGGAAAACATAACCGGATCCTGAGGGATGATAGTCAAGCGACTTCGCAGCTGGTGCAGACCTATCTGCGAGATGTCAACACCATCGATGATGATTTTACCACCGGCTGCTTCCACAATTCTGAAGTGGAACAATCCGTACAATAAGTAAATCATTATGGATTCCGAACATTATGAAATACCTGAACAAACCCAGTGTTAAACTGGACTTTCCGGCACCGGTCCTTCCAACGATTCCAACCTTCTGTCCTCCCATCACATTGATCGAAATTCCCTTGACGACCAACTCGAGCCCTTCCCTGTACCGCAGTTTGAAATCTTTGAACTCCACCTTGCCTTCCGATGGCCAACTTTTATCAACTGATCCCTTCTGCCACTCGGCTTCACGTGGCAATTCGGTGTACTCCTCCAATCGTTCAACCGCCACAATGTTAGTCTCCACTTCAGCCGTCATTCTTACCATAAAACTCAACGTAGCGGAGATCTGAAGCGCATACGAGATCGACAATCCCACAGTGGCCGGTCCAATGGTGCCCTTTGCTAATACGGCAAACATGGCTGCGAACAGCACTACCAAGCTTCCAACTATTTCCAATCGTATTCCCAACCATCGATTCGCGATGATCGTGGGATATGACACTTTCTGATTATAGTCCACTTTGTCCTCGGACTCCAGGGTGAATCGTGCCTGCTCGTTATACGCCCGAATCGTCGATTGACCGCTGATACTCTCGCCAAAGTGCGAATAGATGGGACTTCGAGTAACTGACTCCAAACGCTTCAGCTGACGTGAGGTTGCAATGTAAATTTTCTGGATGAAGTAGTAGATAACCATCAAAGGTGGTACAACGGCCAGGAAGATAGGTGTTGATGTACCGATAACGACAAAAACACCAATGACACTGAAGAAGAAATACAGCCAAGCTCGAATCGTCGCAGGAAGGACGTTATCCATAACGTCCACGTCTTTGGAGAAGCGATTGATGATTCGACCCAGAGGAGTCGTATCAAAGAATGACATAGGCATCCTCATTGAACTTGCCAGTAGCTTATCGTGCAGCTCTTTGGCTGCCTTCAAACAACCCAAACCTAACGCTACGGAACTGATGAACAGAGCGATCGACTGAACGCCTCCCAAGGCACCGTAAACTCCAAGATACATGTCGCGAACGGACGTATCGGTGATGGCTTCCGGATCTTCCGACCAATCCGTTAACCAAATACTGGAGTAAATTCCACTGCCTTGCGTGATGATACTGAACAAGATGGACCACAGACCTAACGATAGACCAATTGCTTTAATGTACTTCATGTAGACAGCTAGCGTGACGGCTCCGGTGGCCGATTCTTCCTTTTCGATGAGTGTAGTGTTGTCTATCTTCGTTTGATCCGGTTGGTCCTTCTTGATGCTAGTTCTGGTTTCCTGTCGACTGATACGTTTGCGTGGAACGTTTTCATCAGATTGATTTGAACGAACGGAAATTAACCGTTTAACGATGTGCTGCGAAGCGTCATCCTTTAGCACCTCCTGTAGAATTTGAATTTCTGAAATTGAAGAAACCGTATTGATCAGCTGGAAATAAGTCACTACCAATCAACATTACCTTCGTCCTCTTCGTCCAAGTCCTGGATGTGTTGAGTCAAAAATTCGGAAAATGCTCCCTTCTGATCCAATAACTGCTGATAGGAACCGCTTTCCGATATCTCTCCATCCTTCACAACGTAGATCTCTTCCACAAACGGCAAAAACGAAATACCGTGTGTTACCAACAGTCTCGATCTTCCAACCAAAATGCCTTGCGGACCAATAACTTTTTCGAAGATATGCTTTCCAACGTGGGCATCGACTGCACTCAACGGGTCATCAAACAGGTAGACATCGGCATCTGCGTAGACGGCTCGAGCTAAGGCAACTCGCTGCTTCTGTCCACCGGACAGATTGATACCTTTCTCACCGATTTCGGTTAAATCTCCACCCGGTAGCATCTCCAGATCTGGCTTGAGAGCACAACATTCAAGCACTCTATCGTACTTCTGCAGATCGTATGTTTTTCCAAACAGGATATTCTCCCGAAGTGTGGCATTCTGAATCCATGCTTGCTGGGGAACGTATGCAATCGAGCCATCTGTATTCACCGAACCACTGATCTTCTCCATCTCTCCGAGCAGGGCGTAGATCAGCGAACTCTTACCACTTCCTACGCCTCCGACGACCGCCGATAGTTGACCTTTCCTCAGTGACAGATGAATGTTCTTCAACGTTAGCGTTTCCTCTCCCCAAGTGAACGACCCATCCTTGATAAGCAACGCATTGTCACTTTTGTGGTGCGTAACGTTGTTCGGGTCCAACTCGGCACTATTCATAAACTTGTTGATACGTTGGATCGATACCCAAGCCTGCATCGAGAAGGTCACCATCATAGGGAGCCATCCCAGCGGAAACCGCAAAATGTTGAACAAAGCTAGTGATACGAAGGCCGTTTGTGCATCCAGGTGGTTGTTCTCGTCCATCAAAACGTACACTGCAAACGAAATCAAGGTGACGAGGAACGGAGCCATGGTAAACGTAAAATATACTCCCGCTCCGTAGTAAGCCATCTTCTTGAGTATACCAATTTCTTTATCTCGAACCTCCAATATAGAGTCCTGGAAGCTCTTCTCCCAAGCGTACAGCTTAAGAACCTTGATTCCACCAAGAATCTCATTCATTTTCTTCACGCGATCATCCTTGATCTTCATCTGCTCTACCTGTAGATCGCGCATTTTCGTTGCCATGAACCCGGAGATCGGTGTCATCACAATCATTACGGCAAGACCGGCAAACACGGCCACTCCCAAGATCTCGTACAGCAGATAGAGACAGAGGGCGATTATCAGCGGGCCGGACCAAAGAATGTGAAGGTACGAGGTCAGTTCGAAGAATCGCTGCGCGTCCACCGCCATCAGGTTCACAATCTCTCCAACGGTGGTGTCCTTTTTCGCTGAGCTGGAGATTCTCAGCGCCTTCCGGTAGATGCCACTGATCAGACCGGTGCGGATGCGGAAGCCCGTCAAGAAGGTGTTGTAGAAGTACTGGCCGTTGAACAGCGCGATGAGTAGGGACGTGGCGAACAGGCCGAATGTCAGCATGACTCCTTGCCAAGTGGGACCGTCCAGGGCGATCCATTTCATCAGTTCCCTGTGGGTAAAATTGTTTTGTAAATTTTGTAGATTTTGTAAATTTTGAAAATATTGTAAATTTTGTAAATTTTGTAAATTTTGTAAATCTACCTCTGGCAATGGTTTGAATAATCTTGAAGCTTGACACCCATATTGATATGGTTCCGGTCATGTCCCAAATTGGCCACTTCCCCCGGGGCATCCAGAACATGCTACAGAGCAGCCATGGCAAGTTATTTGCCTGATAAAACTGCCACTGGTGTTGTCTTGTAAAATCTTACAGTTTGACATCCATATTAACATGGATCCGGTCATACTAAAAATTGACCCCTTCCCCGGAGCATCTAAAACCTGCTCCAGGATATCCACCACCCAATGTGGCTAGCAAAATCTTGAAGTTTGGCACCCAATTGATATGGTTCCGGTCATGTCCCAAAACTGACCACTTCCCCCAGAACCTGCTCTAGGATGGCCATCGCAACTTGTTTTGCTGAAAACGATTCTGAAGATATCGTGCTGAAAAATCATGAGGGTTGATAGGTATCATTGACGTGATTCAAAAGATTAACATTACTGTCACTTTACCGGCACCGATTTCAAGGAAATGGCCAGATCTCGGTTGATTCTCAACAGATCTTGAATCTGTAGCTAGCATTGAATTCAAAATTGCTTGTTGCATCAGGAAAAAATATGAATTATAAATTTTCATCCTAGGAAAAAAAAGCACAAGAGACGAAAAAATTCAGAGATGAAAAATTTGGAACATCTCCGGTGGCCACTGGGCCACAAATTTTAAAATGATTTATTAAAATTTCTACAAATTTCCCATCTAATTAATCCATTTCGAAATCTGGGGCATATTTAGTAATATATGGAAATATGCATTTATGATTGATTATATATCAGATGGATCTTACCAAATTCTGCCTCCGAAAAAAGACCGGTTTGTTCACTCGCGGTAATCGAAAAAATTTTCCGCGTTGTTTTTACAACCCAACACGACATTTTGAATCACAATCGAAGTTTTTCATTTGCACCGAATTTTTGCTTGACACCTCATTCGCGTGGAAGGCAGAATGCCAGCACCAAGAAAAGAAAAAAATACCCGGTAAAACTCTTCTTGGGAGGGAGACAAAGCACCAAAAATAAGCGAAATGAAAAACCGACCGATGCGACACCACAGCAACATAGCTACTCGAAACAAATTCTTGTCCCAGATTTTTCAATTTAATTACAATATCACTAAAAAAAACTTCTTAAGACGTGATAGATCTTAATTTACACTAATCCACACGCGAAAACTAATATTTGTTTGATTTGGTACAATTAAAAAATATGCGAAAAACAAATGAAATCAGCGCCAGCGAAAACAAAACCAACCGTTCACGGGCAGAGCCTGCTGCGTTTTTTTTCGAGCTGTCAATTTTTTAGCTTTGTGTAAAAAAGCGAAGTGATTATTTCCGGCCAGCTTGGTGGCTGTCACACAGCAAAAAATCAATTTTAATATTACATCCAAGAGGATGCACTTCCATCATGTCGAAAATCTCATGTAATTTGTATGGCCACAAAAATAAACAAATGCAGTAAAAGCAGCGTAATGTCAATTCATGTTGTCCTTATTGGCAAGTAATATTACACCATATTTTTGACACGATTAAAGTGCATCCACTTTGATGTGATATCAAAATTATTTTTTTGCTGTGCACTTTTGCTTACTGAGTAGAAGATCATGCGTTTACTCCCAAGCTCCCCTAAAACTAAACAATTACAATGGTTGCATCGCTTGCTTAAGCGAATCCTGACCCTACCAAACTATCCAACTCCGTAGTATCTATGCGGGCACCCCCCGCATATCTAGCAGAAAACCTTAGTTTCACGTTCCCACTTACAAATTGTAGATGTCTCCACCATACGTAAACAACGTTGGAGGCACAACATTTTTCACATCAGAAGACATGTTTTTGTTTTGCTTCATGGACGTCGAAAGCAGGCCAACAATAAATTTTGATTGAGACGTATTACTGATATTGGCATGATGGGTTTTAATTCTAGTCTGGTCTGGTTAACTCCCCGGGTGCATCTCAGACATGCCCGGAACTGACCAATGTGGTCCGCGGTGCTCGAAATTGCCACAATTAATTTGGTTATCATATTTTGAAGTAATTTGTTTTGTCACACTTTACATAACTCTACTTACTGCATGAGATACGGAGAAGCAAACTGCAGTCCGGAAATCGCCAGCTGGAACAAACCTGCAAACCAAAACGGACCTCCGTATGCCTTGACGATTGCCGGCAGTACAGACCCGTAGGTCGCCGAGTGCGGTTTGTACTCCACGTTTGTCTTTCCAGCCTTCTTATCGGCAGTCATCTGCTTCACCCGACTGTTTTCCACACTCTCGAACCAGTACTTATCGAACGGAGGAACTAACTCCCGGGACGCATCTTGCGGATTGATGTCATACATGTCGTCCGATGTCAACGGTTTCCGGAAACCTCTCCACGTGAACGAGTCGAAGTACAGGAAGAACAACCGCACGAAGAAACTGGATCCCAGTTCTGGACTAGGTTTTTTCCCTTCCGGGTAGTCACTGTAGGTTGGTTCCTGATCTGGGAAAATCTCTAATACCAAAATCAGGCAGATCAACGCGTACTGAATGATATAGCTGATGTACTGGTACTCCCAGAAATTGACAGCATCACCGGAGACTTCTCCACGGATTTCCTTGTTTTGCACTTCCGTTCGAAGCTGGATGATTCCGAAGAACATTCGCATGAACCAGAAGATGAAGAACGTTCCGGAACTTCGAATGCCATACCGTCGTTGGTAGAACATTAGTACAATTAGAAGAATCTGTGGGGGGTTAAAATCAGTATTATTCTACCATTGGAGATAACCTAGATCCATTCGTTAACTCACATAGGCTACAGCGTTTAGCACCGCTGTCACAATTTGGACGTCGAACAGTCCTTGTTCGTCTTTGAAGGTGACAACCATACCCAGATCGATCCAGTTCATGCACATCAGCATGAATGTGACAAGCATCTTTGATAGGTTGTACCAATTCCATGGTATGTCTCGGAAGCGGCTAGTACCATATTTGTAGATTTCATAAACGGAGAAGACAAACAGAAAGAAGCAGGGAATCCACTGAAGAGCCACTCGCTGGAGGCAGAAGGTCAAATCCGGATTGCTTTCTCGCCATTCCAGTTGACCGTCCTGTCAAGAAAAAAAAATGTTATTATTCGATGTGTAACAACAGTGAGCAAGTAGTTGCACATAATTCCTGAGAATGTGCAAACAGCGAGCCACTATAGCACTAAAATCGTTGTTCGCATTGTTGTAAACAGCAAATTATCTCATTGAACTTTTCAACAAGTCATCGTGCATCCGTATTCTGGGAGGACGTACACCATCATTATAGTGAGTTATATTGGATCATCGACTGATAAGATAACCATATTTGGTGTTTCAATTGCCGTATATTGGAACAACCCCCCTTCGGTTGTTCATGATTCACTCAGATGTTCTGAAGCACATGGGGCTATCAATCAGTATATGTATTTCACAAGTATCATGTTCGCAAACCACAACAAAGAACCTTACCCAAAAGGGACCTCCGCAAAACTCTTCAAATGACATCAGAATTTCGCCAGATTGCACAAATCTGCTACCACCACTCTTCCCTTTCTTCTTCTTATTATTCTTCTCCTTCGATATTCAAAATCTACTACAAAGTTCAACTCCACTACTCAAGACACCTGCGCGATACTAAAGTCACATCGGACTGTCGAACGATCCTTTATAGGCTTCCTCTTATCTCAGCATTTTGAATTGCTGCCGAAGTACCCGCGAAGTCCACACCTACGACAATACAATTGCGATAATGGAACATTTAATCTCGAGATACGAAGGTGCACTGGTAGTTGGCGAAAATTTTGGCTATATTCTGACGTCTTCTTCTGCTGTTCAAATGGGCAGTGACCGTTATCAAGTGATTCATAACGACAAAGTGCTTACATAGATTAATTGCCGTATATAGCAGATTAATCTCTACTTCAAAGAATTCAGATAAGATAAATGATATAGATATAAAACACTGGAGATCTATTTAGATTGGTTCACTTATATCAAACGGAACAGACAGTCGTGATAGATAGATCTCTTGTCTGTAATTGCATCAGATACTAATAATCAACGTTGATTCATATGATGATATTGTTTGAAATTTATAGAGGAAATTTCTTTGAGAATACCAAATTTTCGCTTCGTCCCAGATTCATCTGGGACCTTTAGATATCTAATCTAATCTAATCTAGCACCAATACAGCCAGTTCATGAAAGCATCCTGGAAAATGATAGATATACAGCTATCCCCCGAAGAACGCGTTACCCACTGAGTTGCACCCACCGCTTTGTCTCGGTGGGTTTTCAACCAAGCGCTCTGATTTTTTGCGAGTGACTAGTTCTCCATTGACCTTACTCACATGCTAAAAATCAGACCGACTGGTTGAAACCCCGCCGAGAAAAAGCGGGTGTTGTAACTCAGTGGGTAACGCGTTCTTCGGGGGATAGCTTATGTTGCACATCAGAGATACGCAAATATGAACAATATGATTCAGAAACATCGATGCTTTTGAATCCAGTATATGGATGAATCCTGTTCCCGTGTATTGTTATTTACTGGTCCTTGGGAGCATCTTGTCTAAAAAGGTTAAGTGATGCTCCATTTTCCTCTAGTGATCGGGACATGAGCACTAAAACGCTGGCCAGACTGAGCAGTTATAACTTGTTATAAGCCATCAAGACAATATTATGTCATGTTATAACTCTGTAGTCTGAAGAGTCTAAACGTACTATATGTCTTGTCCTAGTCCTATATGGCTTATGGTTATAGCACCATTACTCGCTTTCTGAAAATAGAAGAATGGAAGAAAAGGATATAGTAGAAAGAAAAGAAAGAAGGAACCCTAGTTCAGTCCTCCCTTGTATTAAAACTGAAAGAAAACGTAAATCTAATCAATCTACTTGAAAAGTTCACGAAAACTCACAATGACTCGCGATCTTTCCCTTTTGTGAGTTTTATAAAAGATTTCCAACGCTGAAATCGAAGATGAGAGAACTAGATTTCAGCAGAGAGAAACATTGTAAATTTATGAAATTAATAAAAAACGAAATTACATGAGATTTTTGACATGATTGAAGTGCATCCTCTTTTATGTAATTTTAAATTTATTTTTCGCCCTGTACTTTTATACCAAAGACAATTCCAAGACATGTACAGGCTTTTTCCAAACTAGTTCAAAAACTCTTCAGACGAAAACATCACTCTAGCCATCAAACGTCTAAAACCAGACACAAAAGCACCAGGACGGCTATCTTGCCGAATGGCCTTTCCTAATCGTTCCCAACCTTTGAAAATATAGCACGCTCGACATTTCTCAACATATATTCTTAGAAAATAAAAAAAAGAGCATTAGATACTTCATTGAATTGTACATAAACGTTTTGATTTACTTTCAATTTTCAAGAGATTCCGTCATCGCAAATTTTCGAATTCAACGGAGATAAATAACATCGTCAATTGAAAGGGACAATGCTTCAACATAATCAGCCCTATCGGCTTTTGTTTTGGATTGTCGGAGAAGCAGTTTGGATGATCTCACTGCGTCCTAGCAAGAAGTACGGTCGACTTGTTTCGCGCTCTGTTGTTTTGGAAGTTTTCTCGGTATTCGCTTGATATAAATTATCAGTTTTTTTCTCACTAAGTGACTCCTGGCATAGTTCCCGGTAAATTGATCGAAAAGTGAGTTTTTTTTGTAGTAGAAAGTGTAATTTTCGGAACGATTAATCCGTGCTATTGGTAATTCGCAAACCAATTTGGGCATCATCGTTGCGTGGTCACGCATACGCGCTCACGCATACCCGCTTACGTATCATCATCATCGAGTGTGAGCACCCGTTTCTACATCTACATCGTTCATCAATCATCGTGCGCCTGTGTGCGCTGAGTACCGAGCCTCGATCAAGTGCACCACAGCGAAGGTCATCCACGCAGCGCGTCTCTTCCAGCCATCTGTGTAAACGCCTACACATATAACGCTCGGTGGTAGTAGTATAGAATTATCAGATAAGTTTTTGTTTTTTTTTTGTTTCTTTTCCTCCCCCATTAGTTAAATTTTCATTTTGTATTTCTGTGTTTGTAGTGTTTTCTGTGTATTGTGTCTGTGCGTTCAGTGGGAGAGCGTTTTGCGCTCCCACTAGTTGAACAAAATGGATGTTTTGTCAGAAGACGACATGGATGACCATTCACCTCAGAAAAATGATGATGTCATCCATGGTTCGTCGTCTCAGTCTGACAATGGGCAGGCTGAAAAAAGCTCAGATTGCGGGCCTACCCGAATGACTCGACTGGCCCATGGGTTGTCTATTTTCAGCCCAAAAACAAACCCTTGAATGTTGTTCAGATATCTGATGATCTGACAAAGCGATTCTCTGCCGTGACCGAAATAACGAAGGTTAGGCACAACAAACTTCGTGTGACCGTCGCTAACCTGAAACAGGCCAATGAAATTGCTGTTTCCCAGTTTTTCACACTGGAATATAGGGTGTACATTCCAGCCTCTGATCACTGAGGCGAGCCTGAACCCCGAGATACTGGAGAAGCAAGCGGTTGGCCGATTCAAGAACCCCTTGTTTCCTCCGGTAAAGATACTGGCCGTTCATAGAATGAAGTCAGTATCACTCAGCGAGGGTAAAAAGAGTTTTACCCCCACAGACTCGTTTCGGGTGACCTTTTCTGGATCTGCCCTTCCTCAATACATCGAGCTGGGAAAACTTCGTCTTCCTGTGCGGTTGTTTGTACCTCGGGTCATGAACTGCCAGAATTGTAAGCGGTTGGGACATACGGCCTCCTACTGCTGCAACAAGGCACGCTGCTCCACATGCGGGGAGAAGCATGAGGATGGCGCCTGCGCAGCTACTGCACCAAAATGCGTGTACTGCAACGGAACTCCTCCTCATGCTCTCTCGTCGTGCCCGGCGTACAAACAGCTCGGGGACAAAATGAAACGCTCCCTTAAGGAACGTTCCAGGCGGTCTTTTGCAGAAATGCTTAAGACAGCCACGCCATCGACCACTGACAAAAATCCCTTTTATCTTTTGTCAGATGACGAGACTGACTCTGACTTGGCTGAGGAGGGAACTTCTTTCAGTTTTCCGGAAGGTTCTGCACGGAAACGAAAGCGCATCCGTTCGCGGATTGCTGCAAATAAAGAACCCCAAATCAGCTTGCCCAAATCAAGGAGTGGTGGAAAAAAGGAGACTTCTACTCCTCCTGGATTCCGCAGAACTGATTATACCCAGGATTTTCCACCTCTTTCGGGGACATCCAAAACCCCTGATGCCCCAATTTTAAGAACAAAAACCCCTTCTTCATCTGGGCTGTTCTCATTTGATGACATTGTGGACGGTATTCTCAAATACCTCAACAGAACTGATTATACCCAGGATTTTCCACCTCTTCCGGGGACATCCAAAACCCCTGATGCCCCAATTTTAAGAACAAAAACCCCTTCTTCATCTGGGCTGTTCTCATTTGATGACATTGTGGACAGTATTCTCAAATACCTCAACAGAACTGATTATACCCAGGATTTTCCACCTCTTCCGGGGACATCCAAAACCCCTGATGCCCCAATTTTAAGAACAAAAACCCCTTCTTCATCTGGGCTGTTCTCATTTGATGACATTGTGGACGGTATTCTCAAATACCTCAACATTTCTGATCCTCTGAAAAGCATTGTCCTCACATTGCTTTCCACTGTGAAATCCTTCTTGATGCAATTGACTTCAAAATGGCCCCTTCTTGCAGCTATCATCTCAGGATCAATTTCCTTCGATCAATTACCGGAACGTGGTGGGGAGCCCATCCACAAGATCTTCTGACGTTGTACCGGACAACGATTTTATCGGTTCTAGAATATGGTAGTTTTTGTTTCCAGTCGGCAGCTAAAACGCACATCATCAAGCTGGAACGGATCCAGTATCGTTGTCTTCGTATCGCGTTAGGATGCATGCACTCGACTCATACAATGAGTCTCGAAGTGCTGGCGGGCATGTTGCCACTATCCGTCCATTTTTCAGAGTTATCTCTGAGGCTCCTCACCCGTTGCGAAGTAATGAACCCACTGGTGATCGAAAACTTTGAGAAGCTTCTAGAGCTAAATCCTCAAACATGTTTTATGACTTTGTACTACCTATATTTAACACAGGATGGCAGCCCTTCAAGAAATATTCCCAATCGTGTAATCTTCTCCGATTTCGGCTATTCAGTGAATTTTGATTTATCTATGACGCAGGAAATCCGCGGAATTCCAGAGCATCATCGTCCTATGATTGCTCCGTCATTATACTCTGCAAAGTTTGGCCATGTTGATTCTGCAAGAACGTTTTTCACAGATGGATCTCTAATAGAGGAGTCCGCTGGTTTTGGTGTATTTAATGAATTTCATAGCGCCTCTCGAAAACTTGAAGCTCCTTGTTCTGTGTATGTGGCTGAACTGGCAGCAATTCACTACACTTTGGAAACTATTGCTTCACTTCTTCCAGACCACTACTTTATTTTTACGGATAGTCTCAGTTCCGTCGAGGCTATCCGTTCCATTAGGCCGGTAAGGCACTTCTCGTATTTTCTCTTGAAAATACGAGAACTGC